TATATTTTTTATTAATATATATATTTTTAATTTTTATAAATTTGTCCCATTTAAAAATTTGTCAATTGATTTAAAATCTTTCATCCATTCATATGTAGAAGGTTTGAGCTTTTGAATCTTTATTATTTGAATATATATCATTTAAATATTTCAAGTAGAATGAAATATTTGTAAAAACATAGAATAAAATAAGTTATACAGTTTGATTAAATATTCATTTTAATTCATTTTTTTTATATTTTGGTCTCAACGTTTCATTTTAAGCAAAAACGACCTTAATGTTTGACTAAATAATTATTTTAACCTTTAGTGTTTCATTTTAGGCCAAAATGACAAACGCCTTTTCTTATCCTAAAATAAAATATTAGATGCCAAAATGCTTAAAAAATAAAAAGAAATAATAGAAACTAAGGTGACTATTTAAACAAACGATAGGGGTATTTGTTTTTTAATTATTCCAAAAATAAAAAGTTATTGACGGAAGAAAAATATGGAATGAAATTACCATATTGTTGTGTCCATTGTTGGAAGAAAGGGAAGACAGTGGAAGAAGTGTTGTGGGTAATCCGTTGCTGTTCACCTAGCTGTGATTGTGCCCTCTTGATATCGAGTGTATTCCCGAGCAGAAACGTGGGAGGGGGACCCTTGATCCCTTGCTTCCTGAGCTTGGAACTAAGCCTCCTTGGCGTCAAAATCATTGAATCAAACACCTGGATCAGCACCGCAGTCAACCCTATCAACAGGCTTGTTCCAATCATCTTCACCACCACCAATGGAACTTCCATGCCTTCTATCCCTTTACTTTTTGGCCTGCAAATGTACTCACGATCTTTGATGCTTAAGATGTATGTGTATATATACACACACACACATATATGCATAAAACAAAAACAGGTATATTGAGAATTTATTAAAAAAATGTTGAAGATTAGGTTAAGCTGGAGGATGTTGCAGCTTCCTATATATATGCTCAATTTTGGACTGTTGCAAAACAAATATATCAATTTACAATTCACTTTTTTTTGAAATAATCATTGGTATCCGATCTATTGACCGACTAATCTAGATCGGCACTGCAGAGGCAATAGCAACCCTCCAAACTCAGTTTACTCCATTCACAAACAACATAATTTGAATCCCTTTGCTTAAAGAATCTAGTGCAACATCCCACTAGGCCAATTGATCGTTGATTCAAATCACAATTCACTTTTTCCTGTTAAACTTGTAATTATTTCCTAGTAGATTCGGACGAGATGAATTTTAATTTAAGCCATTCCGATCCAGTTTTATGTATAATAATGAAAATGTTTTCTTTTACTTAATTTTGTTATTAAAAATATATAAGTTTTATAATTTAAGTAGAATATTTCATGATATTTCCCGACCTCAGAATCAATTATGAATTATTTATTTATTTTATCAATTCTTTTATAATTTCTTTGTAAATAAAAATTATATGTTTAATAAATTATTTATAGATTTAAAAATTTTATATTTTATTTTGAGCTCATCAAGTGACTTCAAACAACTTTGTATGTGTGTGTATGTGCGTTTTTAATTATTAAAAAAAATTCTCAAAAAATACTATATTTTAGTCAACTTAAGGTTATTCAATGTTTTTTATATTTTATTTAAATATTATTTTTTTAACTTTTATTATGTATAAAAAACTATTTATCTTTTTGAAAAGTTTTTAATAATAATATTAAACACTTCAAATTTAAATTTATTTCAAAATATACTTTAGATTCTTTTTTATAATATTTTTATGAAAAAATCTACGATGCTTGACGAGCACCACTAACGACGAGTACCATTAATTTAATTTAAAAAAATTAAAATCATAGAAGGCTCTGTATAATTATAAATTAGTTTAAAATTTAAAAATAAATTATTTAAAATAAAAAGATAAACTATATCAGTGGCCACCTGATATGATCTCGATTATGTGTTTCGAGTTATATATGTTGTTGCCCGATCGTGATTCTAATAAGAAACTCTGCAGTGCTTGAAGTGATTCTGAAAGTGCAAAATTAATGTACGTTGTTGCCCGATCGTGATTCTAGTAAGAAACTCCGCACTGCTTGAAATGATTCTGAAAGTGCAAAATTAACGTTGTGAATATGAGATAAACAAATAAAGAATGAAATTGAAAAGGATGTGGATGGATTTGAAGTTGTTTGCAAATGAAAGAAGTGTGGTGGTGATAACGGTTGAATGGATGTAACGAAAATGGTGAAGGATGGTTGTAGTCGGCGATGAGGATGATAGAAATTAAAAGGATGGATTGTAACCCGTTAGCTATATATAGATAAGAACCAATAATATAATATGATGGAATCAAGGAGAAGAGGATGGAACGTGACCCACTAGCTATAGGTGAGCTAAGAACCAACATTATAATAAAATGAAATGGAGGAAGGCTTCAAGACTGACAAAAAAACGATAGAGTTCTAATCCAAGAACTAAAATGAAAGAAACCTTTCAAAGAAACCAATAAAGTTCTAATTCAAGACTAACGCTATATGTTGATGAATGAACTAGTTTAATTAATGAATTAATTTTATTCAATGAACTAGATGTATGAATGAAGTAGCTTACTAAATGATCTAAATGTGCATAAATGAACTACTTCCCTAAATGAAATAGATACTTTAAATGTAATGCATGATTAAATGAACATCGCACTTATTAAATGCAATGAATGTCATGCAACTAATAAAACTCATGCAAATTCATGCAATGAATGATATCATATGATAAGTATATCCCAAAGGTAAATACAAACATATGATAAAATATAGTGCATAAATGAGCAGGTATAGGATGAAGTAAGGTAGATCTCCCTTTGAATCAGCCTTGGTGAACTTCAATGATTTAAGCAGATCAAGACAAAGTTAGGGCTAATTGGGATCACATCACCACCTAACTATTGCCACTTTTCATTTTGACCACCATTTTTGAAAATTTGTCAATCAGGTCACTCAACTATTTAAATACATTCAATTAAGCCACTTGTCGTTAATATTTAATAGAGAAGCTGATGGGACAGTTAAAATATTTGGTATAATTACACACTTGATCGTTGTTACTTATATATTCTATCAATTTGATCATAATTTTAATAAATTAAAATAAACTTAACCTCAAATCAAATAGTGCTATGTGTTACTGGATCTTACCATCAACATGTAAACTTTAATTCCATTTGTGTGCCTAATTGAAATATGTAACTTATATTATTTGTAGGAATAATGGAACTTTGCGAGCATATCTCTAGACATTATTTCATTACAATAATTTCAATCGAATTAAAGTAAATTTTAAAATATTAAATTAAGTTTGAAATCGTGTGAATCAATGAAACGAATAAATGAAATATCAAAAATATATAAATGTAGTAATAATCTATTGGAAATTTTTGTTATAGGAAAATATTAATTATATGTATAATAATTTTGGTTGATTGTTTTTTTTTTCAATGATGTTATTATCGTGGTGTCATTTTTAATTTATGATGCGGTACTGACCAAACTTTGGAAGATGTCATTTGATTTGAGGGTTAAGTTCATTTTAATTTATTAAAATTAGGATCAAATTGATATAATATATAAGTAACAATGACCAAATGTAGAATTATACCAAATATTTTAACTATCACAATAGCTTCTCGTTAAATATTAACAATAAGTGTCTTAATTGAATGCATTTAAATAGTTGAGTGATCTGATTGAAAAAAATTCAAAAATGACAGTCAAAATGAAAATAAACAATAGTTAGGTGGTCATTGGTATATTTTACCTTTTATTTTAAATATTTACCTTTAATTTTTTAACTAGTTTATAATTATATGTTGAGTATTTTAGAATTTAAACTTTTATATATTAAATTAATGATATTCATCGTTAGTAATGCTCATCGGTACCCGTCGATAGAGGTGTTCAAAAAAATCCATATCCGTTAATCGAAACCATTAATTGGTATATTCTATACATTTAACATGTTAATTAATCGAACCGTTAATACTAAACGATTTCGGTTAACCAAACCACTAAAAATGATGGTTAACGGTTAAAGTTACGGTTACAAATTTTGATAAACGATTAACCGTTAATAAATTAAATTTATAATTAAATTTATAATTTATTATCTTTTTACACAAATAAAATAAAATTTCCTATTATTTATAATTTATATATATTTTAAATAAATTTTGTATACAAATAACCTAATATGTATTTTTATTTTTTATTTATTTTAAAATATATAAATATACTTATACCAATATAATTATTTGTTTACCTTTAAGTATTAAGATATTGTGAGATGTACATACTTACACTAATGTAAGTATATATTAAGTGCTACATTTTATTTTATTTTATTCACTTACATTAGTGTAAATATGTGTTAAGTTATATATATATTTTTATTTTATCTACTTACATCGATGTAAATATGTGTTAAGTGTTATATTTTTTTATTTTATTCACTTACATCGATGTAAGTATGTGTTAAGTATTATACTTTTTTATTTTATTCACTTACACCGATATAAATATGTGTTAAGTGTTACACATTCTTTAATTTATTCACTACATCGATTTAAGTATGTGTTAAGTGCTATATTTTTTATTTTATTTATTATATCAGTATAAGTATGTGTTAAGTACTATACTTTTTAATAGTATGAATTATAAAAAAAATTGTAATAAGTTAATTGTAAGTTAATATGCAACCGAACGGTTAATAACGATCAATCGTTAATAGTTAACCGTTTTTTAATGATTAAATTACGATTAAAAAATCTCATAATCGTTATAACAACTAACCGACTGTTTAAGCTAAATGATATAATTAACCGTCCAAGAACACCCCTACCGTCGTAGAAAAACCATCGTATTCTTATTACATTTTTCAACCAACTAATATATTATTTATTTTAAAAATAAATGGCCTTAAAATAATTTGAATACCTAGAAGCGCTCTTTCTGGCGACGGTTAAAAGTTCCTTATTACCAAAATTTAGGAGCATATTACCATCCCACTCGATTCCTTGAGCATACTTTAATTCAAAATTCGAAACAACAATGTCAGCATCTACGCTCTCCATCAGCGCCAACCCGGCGGTGTCCGCTCGTCGCCGACATGTCCTCCTCGCCGAAAATAAATCCAACATCGAGTCCTTGGCCGCCGAACCCAACCCTAATGGCGTAAATGTCGGGGATGATAAGGTCTCCGGCGCCGCTAACACTGCCGGTCACAGCAGAGATCTTAGCCACCATTCCATCCGTGGCGAGGCGTTAAAGGACTCCATGCAGGCGAGAAAAGTCACTGTTGGTCAAAACACGAACGTTCCGTTGCGGCGAACACGGAAGGGAGCGGTCAACAAGTCCGAGAAACCCCGGTGGCTGACTGCGGTTAGTATTTTTATTAAGAATTTAGTACTTTTACTTGTTTTGGCTGGGTTAGTTCAAATTGTTAGGAGATTGGCTTTGAAATCTGGGAAAGGTAGTAGCGTTGGAACGCAGGTCAGCTTAACAGAATTTGAGGGTAGGGTTGCTGAGGTTGAGACTTTTTTGAAGACTACTGCTAAAATGATCCAGGTTCAGGTAGATGTTGTTGATCGGAAAATTGAATATGAAATAGGTGGGTTAAGGAGGGAATTGAATGAGAAAATTGATGACCGAAGTGTGGAATTGGAGAATTCATTGAAAAAATTGGAAGAAAAGAGTGAAGGATTTGATAAGTCCTTAAGCGAATTGAAGAATATGAATTTGTTGACAAATGTAGAGTTTGAGAAGATGTATGGAAAAATGTTGAAAGAGAAGGTTGGAAATGGTAAGACTGAAACAGCTGTGAGTTTGAGCGATATAGGAGCCTATGCAAGAGAGATCGTCAAGAATGAGATTGAGAAGCATGCCTCGGATGGGCTTGCAAGGGCCGATTATGCTTTGTCTTCTGGTGGAGGAAAGGTTGTTAAGCATTCTGATCCCTTTCTTGCTGGAAAGGGAAACAACTGGTTTTTGAAAGGTAGTCAAACTGTGGTTCATCCTGATGCAGACAAGATGTTGAAGCCTAGTTTTGGGGAGCCAGGGCAGTGCTTTCCATTAAAAGGAAGTAATGGGTTTATTCAGATTAAGCTGCGCACGGCTATTATTCCTAAGGCTATTACTCTGGAACATGTTGCCAAGGTAACATTTTTCATTGTTGTAAAGTTTTGTACTATGTTTATAGTTCAACATATGCTCATGTCTTAATTTTGGTTTGTGTTGTGATGGAAGTCCAATCATAATTCAGTTTCTTTTGATGTTAAGCCTAAAGCTTTAACATAATATACATAAGACTTTGAATGGTCAAAGAAGAGCTCCTATAGTCGGCCCCTTTAGCCAAAATAGTGTATACTGATGAGTGATACGAGCTATGCCTCTAAGATCTGGTTCGAACCTCCATTTTGCAGTAACAGTTTGTTTCTTACTTTTTTGGGACATTATGTTTCCACTAACTAACAACTAATAACTTGTCTTAGACTTTTTATAATTAGGAGATTTAGCTTAACTTGATTCTGAGTAGCCTCGGTTTGACGATGGAATAATTCTAATAGACTTGGATGCGCATGGACCTTATAGAATTAAGCGGGGAGGGGACAGGACTCAAACATTATACTTGAATTTCATTTGCAGTCGGTATTGGCTAAGTAGTGTGTAAATACATCTGCTACCTTGCATCTCACCTCCAAAAATAAATAGGTGATATGCATGATTTTGCACTATGTAAATAATGAGGTTAGTAGGGTTTTCTTTCCTTCCATGGTGATGCAGGAGCATCAAGTTTAATTTAATTATTTAAATTTTGATTATTAGGATGGGTTTTTTATTATTATTTTTTTATAGGAATAGTAGGTCTCGTTAAAAACCTCCCTCGTAGTTGCCTCTTAAAAGGAGGCAACTAGCTGAAGGAGGAAAATAGTACCTCAATTTATTAAAAAACCAGAATTACATAGGACCCTTTGTAAGAGTTCTAGTATAACTATTCTAATAGAGATTAAATAGGACTGTTAGTGACGAATGAGGATCTTATTATAAATACAATAACAGGGGCTATTAAGGGCAGTTTTTATTATCATTTAGAGAGTTTATAAAGCTAGTTGCTGGAAAATCCACAGAACCATTTGCATCCCTAATTCAATTATGTTTGTCCTTTTTTTTAAAAAAATTCATAGCTTTTCAGATTTTCCTCTCCGCCACATGGTGGCTTCTGGAAAATAAAATGTTGCTTGATAATACAAATGCTGAGGTTTGAGTGAAGATTATGTGTCAAATGAGAGTACGTTTTTCCATTTATATTTGCTTTTAGCAGAGGCACACTTTTGTAAGAGTGAGTGAAGTTATACAGATTTATGGCACTGCTTTATCTTAGTAGGGAAAGAGCTACTTGTATTTGTAAAAAAATGGATTGCTAGGATGGGTTTTCTTCAGTATCAAATATTTGGTTTTCACCAGCTGTTTGCAACTTAAGATATCGTCAATCTGTTGCTTTGAGAAGATAAATATCCTTCAAGCAGAATATTATAAAAGTTGCTTAAAGGTCCTTAAAAATATAGTGGTGCCTTTTTGTGTTCAAAATTCTAAATAAGTATATACATATTGAAAATGTTGAAGCAACAAGAAGAACAAGCTAATATGAGAATGATTCTATGAAGTTCTTTTCTCTTCTAATCTATTGTCTAACATGCTTCGAGTACCTATATATAGCAGCACATATTAGGACATAGATGAAGGGATATGAACCACCGAGAACCCTTCAATTATATGGAAAAACTTACAAAATGTTTAGCATACTTGTGTCTGACACATATCTGATCCAACACTCACATGGTCACACTTAAGTTCGAGAACGTAGCCTAGAGGAACGATTACATGAATTTCTTTTCTCATCTCATCTATGATCAAACTTGCCTCATTATGGTGGAGCACCAAAGGAAACAACTACGCCACTTTTTTTTCCATCTAAATCTTCTGTTTCTGAACTCTAAAAACACCTATCATATACTTTTTATCAAATAAAAACATATTTTTCTTTCGCAAAGCTGCAGCTTCTTATGATTGAATGGAAAGGCAGTGCTTGTCTTTGCAGCTTGCTTCATTTTTTATTTAAATTATGGTCAACATATTTAACTATTTTATTTAGACTTGAGTGTAAGAATCGGGTACAAGTATATTTCCAATATGATTATGTTCCAACTGTATTTTTTATTTTTGAAGTTTTTTTCTTGTATTGGGAGGGTCCCTATAAGGTCATATCTCCATATTTATGTTAAGATATGTGCTCGATACAAATGTTAAAACATGTCTACTTTGAGAAAAATGAAGAGCCAGTGTAACATAGAAAATATATGTAGGGCCGATTTAGGACTAAACATTTCTGAAGTGCTAAGTATGTTGTTCTTGTATCGTGAACAGAGTGTGGCATATGATAGATCCAGTGCACCCAAGGATTGTCGTGTCTCTGGCTGGATGCAAGGTCGTGATCTTAATTTACCAGTTGACACCAATAAGATGTTTCTTTTGGTAGAATTCATGTACGACCTTGAGAAGAGTGCCGCTCAGACCTTTGATGTATTGGATGCGGCTGGTGTTGGCATTGTTGACACAGTTAGGCTAGATTTCTCTTCCAACCATGGAAGCACTTCACATACCTGCATTTACCGGTTGAGGGTGCACGGTGAAGTGCCTGACTCCGTTTCAATGGTAAAACTGCAGCCTTGAGGTACATCACGCTTTTTGTATCTGCATTACTCATGTAATTGTTATTCTCCTCTGTATTTAATTAAATAGTATTTAAGTCATTTATATCGGTACAAATTCCTTCTGTTAAGGTTTTATTCTGTGTAGCAAATGAGTGTCAATCTACTTGTATTTTTCCAGCTAGGATAAAATTAAGAACAATCATGGAATTTGATCCAGAAAAAATGAGCTTTGTTTGATAGACTACAGCTAGTCGTTTTGGGAATTCAAGACTAGTGATTCTTGCATAGATGAGTACATCCATTGCATGTGCATGAATGAGTCTATTCAATTGACAATTCAAGACTAGATTTTTTATTTAAGTTGGATAATTGACAGTTCAAAATGATAAAATCTAAGCATAATGTCAATTAATCCCACAACGTTTATCAAATAGTTATTTTTACTCCCATTCTTTGGGAGTATTTTAACTCTTAATATTTCATTTTGGAATAAAAAAAGTCCATTTGTGGTTGAAAATCGGTAGTTAACAAGCAGTCAACGCTCTAAATATATGGTTTTTTTAATCTTAAAATAAAATATTAGAGGCTAATATATATATATATTAAAAAAAGGAGACAGATGACTATTTAGATAAATATGGGGGCTTTTTCTTGGCATTATGCCTAAAATCTAAGATTTCTTTGAAGTTATATCATGAATGAAATTTCATGCAGCATATATAAAAATTCTTTTAAATCTTATTAAATATAATGTTTAATTAACATTGTCAAAGAACACTTGGATCTTCATCTTTAGTTTTATAAAATATCTCGAAACAATCATTTTACGGTCAATGTGACCGTGTATCTCGTAAGTATTCGCAAGTAAACCCGTAGACAATTTGAGAAGTCGCTTTCCTTTTAATCAAACCGACGATTTAGTATTTCTTTTTTTCATTTCAATTGCATAAGTGAAGGATATGGTAACATAGTCGGTTATTAGTTTTTAAAAGTATATATAAGTATAATTATTTATAATTCTTAAAAAAATAAATAAAAATAAAAAAAGTATTTAATAGAATTATCTATAGCTTAAGCATGAATTCTGGGGAAACAGGACTTCTTAAAATTCTATTATGCAACTCCTGTTGCTCAAGTGAAAAATCTGCTCACAACTAGGGCTGTAAATGAGACGAGACAGATCACGAGCTACTCGAGATCGACTCGATCTTGGCTCGATAAATACTCGGATCGAATGGATTCGACTCGAGCTCGAACTCGACTCGAGTTCTTAACGAGCCGAAATGAACTACTCGATATTCGACTCGAAAAGCTCGTGAGCAGCTTGAAAAAATGTTATATTATAATTTTAGATTTTTTAAAATTACATTATTAAAAATATATTAAAAATAAATTATTTATGAATAAATATTCTTGAATTGAAAATGGTTAAAAATTATTTTTGAATAAATATTCTTATATTTATTTAAAATTAATAAAAAAATTATTTATCTAATGACAAATATTTAATATATTTCTAATGATAATATTTGTAATAACTAATTTTTTAAATTGTTGTTATATTTTGAGGTTTTGGGTTCAAATATTATAAATATCAAGAGTTTGAGCATTTAATATCAAGATATTATATTGCACTTACCTCATAACTAATTATGTGATAAGATTTAGAATTTAGGGTTTAGACTTTAGGGTTTAAGATTTAGGATTTAGAGTTTATGCAGTAGGATTTAAAATTTAGAGTTTAGAATTTAGGGTTTATGTGTTAAGAGTTAGGGTTTAGGGTTTAAGTTATTCACATAAAGGTAACATACAAATTATGCAAAATGATGTTATGTGACTCGTAAATAAATAATTCACATACTTATACATAAACATATAAACATGCAAAATAAATATACACAACTAATTAAATAAAACAATCTTAAACATGGACTAAATTTAAAAAAACCTAAATGTGAGGACTAATCTAAGCTAAAATTTAAACAATTTAGGGACTTTTTTTTGTACAAAACGCATAAATCTAGAGAGCCTAAAAATAATTTACCCCTAAAGTTTTAACCCCAAAATTAATTAGGGTTTAGAACCTAAATTAAAACAAACCTAAACTAAATATTCATTCAGCCACTCAAGCTCAATCCTCATTCCTCACGCCCTAACCTTCTCCAACTCTCCCCCTCTAATTCTCACGCAAACCAGAAAACAGTGCCGCAGCTGCCGCTCCTCTCGTCTTTCATCAACGGAGTTCTACACTTCGACCGCTGTCGTGACCCTCTCAAAACCCACAGCTGTAACACCCTCAACCCGTATCCGACCCGAATACGAGTTTGGGGTGTCACATTGACTTTTCAAACTTTGACTCTTGACAAAATTCAAAGAAAATTTAAAACTTTCATTAAAATAAAAACTGTGTATTTACATAAATTGACCAAAATAACCAAAATCGATCAGAGCATATTCAGCTCAATCAATTAGTACATGCCAACTATATTCAGATTAACCATACACATTTAAATCATCTATTTTTGATATGAAACTTTGTAAGGAAAATGCTGACCTGTCTTGCTCCTCTTAGCTCTTTACTCTTCTCACTTCTGTAACCTAATAATAAAACTCTATCTCGTAATCATGCTTGAACAATTTCTACTAACATATCACATACAAGCATCACACCCACATATACATATAATAATTCCTACTATGCACCTTTCATATATTCATCTATATATATATATCCACGCATACATATAATTATCTTCTTTCCTATCATTATCATATTATCACCTTTCATATTTCTATTCTCTTGTTTATATGATCAATTAAGCTCATATCATATATCTTATAGCATATACAATAATCACTAACACACATATATCATATACATTACATTCCATGTTATCTCTTATTAGCCCATGTGCACCTGTGAGAACTGTAGATATGTGAGTCTAATGAGGTTGTGCACCACTATGCTGTCACCACAGCTCATATAAATGTCTCGAAGGACTTATCCAGAGGTCACAAAGACCCCGGTAACTATCCAGAGGTCACAAAGAACCTCGACAACTGTCCATAGGTCTCGAAGAACCTAGGTAAACTATCCATATGTCTCGAAAGACATAGGTAAACCCTCGACTCTTGGCATGCCAACTATACCCCTAGCTCTCATATCACATAACATGGGCATTATCATTTATAACATTTCATATCACTTGTTATTTCTCTTCTATCACATACCACATGTATGTGTAACCATATATCTCATATCACATGTATCACAAGTGCATGTATTCACGTAGATCGTTTCATATGACTTATATCATTTCTCATTTGTTCATGTAACTCGCATGTCATATCATGTAACATATAACACATAATCATATAGGCTTACGGTTTTATCACCTATCATGTTATTTCACTTATACACTTTTATATCACATAAACTCATATATATATCACGTCACATAACTTATCTCATGACTTATTTGATATTCCTATATATTCTCATCTTATAACTTATATTACCTATGCATATAACCTTATGACTTATTATCAAGTACTCAATTAATGTTCCTATATGGTTCCATCTTTATCATATAACCTATGAGCTATTCTTATATTACCCTATATCAACCATACTTTGTTTATCTCACTTTTCATATCATTCATTCAAAAGCATGTTAACACATATAATCATGCATACACACAATTTATGTCATGTATATACATATAATCATATATTCATGCATTCAACATAGGAAATAGACTTGTCACAAGTCTTGTTTCCATTTAGCACCATAAACGAATTAATATGCGCTCACCTGAGCCTCATTAAGTTCCAATCCACTTTTGTGATTTTTCTTTTCTTTCGATCGAATCTTAATTTGATGATCGTTCCGAAACTTGTTCGTGTTCGATATCTACATAATCACATATTGATACATATCAGTATCCAATTGATATACTCTAATCTATCATTTCTTAGACCAAAAGAAATGTCTATTTCAATTTCCCCTTGAAGTGCATCGATACATTCTTTAACATGTGCATCGATGCACTACCCATGCATCGATACACAAATTACCTTCGATGTTTTCATTTTAAGGGGATGCATCGATGCACTCCTTATGCATCGATGCATCAATTGCATTCGATGTTTCTTCTTTAAAGAGTGCATCGATGCACATTGAATATGCATCGATACACCTTGCCCAGAATTTGCATTTTAGCACGAAAATCATCAACTCTTCCCTTAATTCTTCTATTTTAAGCCTCTAATATGTCATTAAACTCAACTACTATTACTTAAATCAACTTATATCCATGTAAATCATCTTTAACCTCAAAATCCTATCTTCCTTATGAAATTCAAGAATCATACTCAATTTTTAACATGTTCTAAATTCCATTCAATTGCTTCTAACTTCTTAATTAGACCCTTGACAAGTCAAATCCAACTTTAGAACTTCAAAAACCTTTCTATAACAAAAGTTCATTTATAAACCCTTAATAGAAATTCCTTTCTAATTCTCTCTCTTTGGTGTTTTAAACTTATATAAGCTTTCCTTAAGCTTATATAACCCCCAAAGACTCAAATTCAACTTAAAACTTTCAAGAAATCAAAAGCTAAATCAAACTTACCTTTGCTTTTGGCTTCCACGCAAAGAAGAAGAAGAAAGGAGAAGAGAACTCTGGAGAATTCTCTCCCTTTCCACGTGTATTTATCCTTACCAATCCCATTTTTTAATTCATTTCTTGGTCAATTGACCCTTTTTCCCTTTATTTCCTTTAATAATTACTAAATAACCTTCATCATATATATCCAATAATCATTGAACTATTTCATTCTTCTACTTTAGTCACCAAATTTTGAAATTTTACAATTTGGTCACTAACCCGGTATTGCGGATGTTACAACAGCCACCATGAAACAGAACCCTCTCCCCGTCACTAGCAACGCCGCCGTGAAAAAGTTCAGAACCAAGCACTCCTTCTATGGAAAGCTCTTCCTTCTGTTGTTGTTTTCGGTGGCCAGGTCGAATTCCTAATAAACCCATTCATTTATTCCTTCTATTTTTTTGCTCTTTTTTAATTTGTTACTTTTTTTCATTGGAAAATAGAGCTCTGGGAAATCTTCAGTTTTGGAGAGCATTGTCGAGAGGGATTTCTTACCTCGTGGATCTGGTAAATTTTTATCTATGTTCTTGGAATCTGGATAAGATAACAAATAATAGGAAAACGAAGCACTTAAATGTCGGATCTTGCTGTTTGGAAGCACTTCTCTATGTTCATTTCTTTTCCTATTACTAATTGACTATACATGTACACGTGAATGATTTGGTTCACTTTCCAGTGGGATAAAGTCGAGGACAAGTATGCTGTGAGTACACTTGTTTTTGTCATTATAGTTGCCCTATGGGGCTCTACTGGAATAGTCTCGGTGAGATTCTTGAAACTGCAGATTTGTCTCAAGTGATTAAGCGCTGGAAAATTTGATTTGGTGAAAATGGGAGTGTTTATGTAACAGGCAATTGACAGGGTTCCTTTGATTCCTGTCATTCTGGAGCTCGTCGGTATTGGTTACAGTTTACACCACGGTAAGCCAGTTTCATTCGACTTTAGTAGGAAGATCAAAGCATTATATTTGGGAATTTCCCACTTTCGTATGATTCTTTTATTATGTATCCTTGCAGTGGTTTGTATACAAGAACCTTATTTTCAAACCAGACAGGCAAGTCTCAATTTTAACATAAAAAAGGGTGATTTATATAGTATGATGGTATTAATATCTACTTGTTTAAACTTCAGAGATGCTCTGTTTCAGAAAATAAGCGACACATACAAAGAAATAACAGGGAGCAGCTGAGAATGATATTAAGATGAGGTGTTGCAGGGTATCAACTTGTGGGAGCTTAGTTTGCTTCCTTTTGTTAGCACAAATTTTCTGGCCAGAATAAGACAATGTGTTTTGGTATTTTGTGATGAGCAAATTGAAATGCATATATATTTTTTATTTCCCCCGCTATATAGAAATACTCTCGGATGCTAGTAAGTAAGCACATAAAAAACTAGATCAATTGTCTAAATTTTCTAGTATGTTTTAGTTTTTGCTTGGCTTCATGGTTGAGGTATGAGATCACCATGGACTCGTTGCAGTTATGATGAAGAACATGTTCCTTCCAAAATCTAATTTTTGTTTTTTCTTGCGTTTTAAGGGATTGTTACACGGAGACCATTGGTGTTGCAGCTTCATAAGACAGAATCAGGAGCTGAATATGCAGAGTTTCTTCATGCTCCAAATAAGAGATTCACTGATTTTGGTAATGCCTCTATTAGGATACTTGAATATCTAAAAATTTGAATATGTTACCTACTTGTGTTCTAAAAATTTCTAGCTTATTTTCTAAAGTTTTACCATTTACGTTTCCTTTTTTCTTTGGTAATATGTGCATGAGATTCAGTTTCTTCTTCTTTTGGGAATTGAAGAGGTTATAGGTACTAGCTGAGACTTGAAATTATACAGGTTTTACGAGGAGGGCATATTGCGTAATCTGAAATAATAGTATTTCTTTGATACATTAGTGTTCTAGTTTTGTTTTAAATGTCAAATAATTATGGTACAAATATTGTTTTTTGCTCACTTCATTACGGTGCAACTTGATAGCATCTTTTCCCATCCTTTTTACAGTAAGAGAAGTGCTGGTGTATGAAATAGACATTCTTGTTTACATCTAGCTATTTGGTGAAGGGAAAAGGAAACAAAAACCCTTGCTTTCCATGTTCGATCTATAACTTGCAAAAGGGGAAAAACTATTTCATTAAGGTAAGAAGCTTCGTGCTAGCTTCCGTTAATATTAGATTAGATTGTTCCAAACTGTGACAAGTGTTGGTTTGGTAACTTTAACTTATGAGATACACAAAGCACGATACTCATGGTATTAGACTGTTAGGAGCTATCATTTAGTGCAATGCAGGAACATAAGAGGATGGAGGGTACGAACAGTGCATCGGTCTCCTCTTCGTGGCCAACAGTATGACACGAGGTCTTGTAGAGCAAGGCATGGGCAGATATGGGCACGGTGTGGGTCTTGCTCGGGGTGCTGAAATTGGCAAGACCAATGCAACTCAATTTTTTAGCTGCTGGTGTTCTTCACGTGGGAGCATGGGTGGCTGGATGGGGAGCCGAGCCTTTGCTTGCTCATGGGTGGTGCTTGGGCAGCAGGGTATGGGCGTTGCTTCTTGGTTGTCGTGCTTCACGTGGGGACTAGTATTTTAATTTAATTTAGGTTTGATTTAAAGGGACTCTATACATTTAATTTGGATTTTAGATTGAATTTCAAAAAAAAAATATCCTAAATTTCTTGTAATTGTATTTTTATTTTTTAGATTTTTATAGTTCATACATTCATATTATAATGTATTAGTGATGGTTGATTAAAATGAAAATTATTTATATATTTTAAATGTAATATAAGATTTTTTGTAAGTTCAAATTCGAGTTTGAGTTCGAGCTTGAATCGAGTACGAGCTTAAATCGAGTACGAGCTTGAATTGAGTTCGAGCTTGAATCGAGCTCGAGTCTCGAGCTTCAATCGAGCTACTATTTTTTTTTTAATTCGAGCCTTTTCGAGTTTGAGTCGAATTTCAAAATTATCTTTCGAGTTCGAGTCGAGCTTGAAAATTTTAGGCTCGCGAGTTTTCGAGCTCGACAATACTCAAGCTCGACTCGGCTCGTTTACACCCCTAGACTTAATTTCGCTTAACTAAGATATATTGCTAGGTCCTTATAAAATTTTCAGTTACAACTGATTTATATTATTTTTAATTTTATATTAAAAATTTGTATTTTAGACTCTTCCAAAAAAATTGATTTATTTTTATTTCTACAAGTCCCTAACATCATTGTCTGTGTGACACTGTTTTTGGCTTCTTGTCGACTGCACAAAAAAATATTTTCATTGGCCATAAAATTCACGAGATTAAATAATTTCTAAAACAGGCATAACTAGAACAAATTTAACTTACATTGCAAATTATGCCTTCGAAACCAACCTTTTCTCCTTTATTATTTTTTTTTGAAAAAAGATTTTAGCATGTATTTCCAAATTCAAAATTGCATAGCAAGGTTTCATAGTTCTATAAAGAAAATAAAGGTAAAAAAAAATCTGATATTTATGGATCGCTGGATTCCTATCTAATCTCATCCTTTTACACAAGAAATGCACTCAAAATGTATACATGTATATCGAATAATTTTGTACAAACTATACAGGAAGCCAAAAACAAATTATTTCTAGCTATTTACTCTCTTTTTCTAAACTATGTTAGGGATTTCGCTTTCCTTTATATTTTTCTGTTTTCTTGCTGGGATGAAAAAGGCCATAGAAGAGGATAACATAATGGAAATCTACCTGATATTACTTCTCTGCAATAGATATTCACTTCCCCCTTGCTCTCTCCCCTGTTCAATTGTGGAAAGCAAAATCCGTAAAAAATGTTTTGTGTCGTCTTCTGATGCTAGTTCCAAGTTTGTCTGAAAGAGTGGAAGGGGAGTTGATGGATTATTCCACCGCATCCTCGTCCCGCCGCCACCACCCTTCCTTGACATCTGCTGATTTTGTCTCAACAAGGCATCTGAACTGCTTCCAACAATATGTACCACGCCATCATCAGCATCAGCGTGGATTACACTATGCAGGCTAATTTCTGTTTCTATCACCCACTCTTGATTTACTGCAACCCCTCGGAATTCAGGTTTCCCCAAGTCCACCAGATTAGGGCAATTAACAACCAACACAAGTCTCTCTGTCATGATGACATATTTACCAGGTTTTTTGAGTGCTTTGGAAGCAACATAGATCTCGTCCTTGAGCTTGCCATCATCAGCTTCCTTAAGCACCAAAATTCCAACAGCTTCTTCCCAAGAGTAAGACCTCAAAGGAAGTTCCCTGCTTAGAGGCCTTGGCAAACGAACTCTACAACGTTGTGAACCCATATGGTATAATCTGCTTCTGTTTCTAATACTCTGTGCAGTTTTTCCAGTAACCTCAAGTATACTAGCAGCCGGTCTTCCCACTAGTCCTGTTACTCCCATGCATGTCTTGCTGATAATGGAAGTACTATGGTTTGAAAAGAGATGCAGTCAACTCACTGCCAGTGGTGTACCTGAGAAGATGCCAGGTAGGCCGTGCTTTTCTGCTTCTTTAATAGGTGATTGGAGGAGGCCAGTAAGTCCCTGAAATCAACGGTAAAATAAGATTCAACCTAGTAAAGTGTTGCAGATATGTAGGCAAAATATTATGATAGATATATTGTCATTAATGTAGGATGTTACGTTACCTATTATAGGATTTTTATACTTGTATACCCACAAGCTTTATGAATAGAACACACAAGAAAGTATTCCCTTACTGATACTCTACATGGTATCAGATGTCCTAAATCAATTCTATGTATTTTAGGTAGAAAGCCAATTTCAGGCAGTAAAAGTTTTGTGCAGTTTCGCAGTCAAAAACAGGGGGTTATTGCCGTTCTTCAAAGGGCAGGTTTTAGAGGCTCTCCTTGAAGGTGGTAGAACACGTTCTGCATTATTTGAAAAGTGCTCCTGGACGTGGAATTCTATAGGACAATCATTGTCATTCTAGGATCAAATGTTTTTCAGGTTCAGATTAAGCAAGATGCAAGGAAGATAGAGATTTACTTCAGGACATTGTGTCTTCGTTGGAGGTAACTTGATTTCAAAGAAGAGTACGATTTCAAAGAAGAATACGAAACAAAATGTGGTCTCACAATCAAGCCCGGAAGCTGAATACAAAGCTAAGGCCAAGTTTGTGTGAAGTATAGGTAAATGAGCTACTCAATGAAGTTGGAATTAAGGTTGTATCACCAGCAAAGCTAAGATGTGATAATCAAGTTGCACTCCCCATGGCTTCTATTCCAGTCCTTCATGAACGAACAAAACACATTGAAGTTGATTGTCATTTCATTTACGAAAAGATCCAACAAGGTTTGATTACTACCGACTACGTGAAAACTGGAGAACTAGGAGATATTTTTCACAAAGGCTCTTAATGGGTCCGAATTGATTATCTATGTAACAAGCTGGACATGATTACTATCTATGGTCCAACTTGAGATGGGAGTGTTAAAGATATCTAGGTAAAATATTAGGATAAATATAAATTAATTATAAAGTAGGATATTACCTAGTATAGGATCTTTATACTTGTATTTATAACCATAAGGCAAGAATAGAACACACAAGTATTCACTTTCTGATAATCTACAGAAAGGCATGCATAGCATCTTGATCCAGACAGGCTCCACATAAAAGACAGCTCTTAACAAGCAACTTTATTTCTTTGCATTGGGTTTGCTGGTTGAGGTGCAAATTTACCATCCGTATAGAAAGAACAAAAACATATGTACAGACGGGTATATTATACCTCAAAGACTTCATTTATTATGCCTTTACTTTGTGAAGCTTCCCCCTTCAATTGCTTTTTCATTCTTGCAACAGCCTGATCATCAAATGTAAATGCAACAATACCCTGCAAGCAGAACCTTTTCATTGTCACTCGATATTTAACTGAATTATTCTAGTTTCTCATAGATAATAACATTAAGAAATAGAAAAATTAAGTAATAAATTTTAATTAGTGCACCTAGAGATACCTTGTGTGCAGCTTTACTGAATTGAGTAGCAGCGTCACTTAGTGCGTAGACCGTATTGCTCAGAAGACTAGCAGTACCTTGAGCCATGCCTGTGATAAGTCCAGTGGGACTCTAAAAGAAATCATCATATTCAGTCAGCCATTGTGGCAGAGTTAAAAGTTAACAAAGAATGCAGAATTTAATTACCTTAAGAAAACTCTTTGCGGGAACTGCTAAGAAATCTCTAATTCCTACACCTAGACTCCTGGCAAATCCCATGGGATTACCGATAACACCAGCAGAGCCAAACACCTGCAGATTACACAAGTAGGTGCCCGAGAGAAACTCTTTAGTTTCAAGAAGCTGACGAGTCATATCTGAGGCAACACTGTCAGCAGCATTTCAAATGAACTCAACAATAGCAGTGATGAAATTCAACATGGCAAGCTGCAGAATGCAGAGCACTAATTTGTTTCAAATAGATTTTAAGCGAAATAGAGACCAAAGCATAGCTTTTGAAATCAGGAGAAATGAGTTCTAAGGAACGGAAGAGAACAATCATCAGACATAAGATGATATATCCCCCAAATTAAAAGCCATCAACCATAGTCACCAAGGCTTACTCAAGTGATAAGTATGGGGATCTGATAGAGATTCTAGATTCAAGTTGCAGTACCAATGGAGGAGTTGAAATTTGATCCGAGGCCTGCAGGTAAGCCCACTGATGGAGGACATTTACCATATAGCTTTTTTTTTTTGATAGGAAAGGTAGGCCTCTTTAAAAACCCCCTTCATGATTAACGGATCACACGGTGCTCCTTAATCAGCGGAAGGAGGAAAAGAGTGCCTCAATAATTCATTGATAACCTGAAACGAGTCAAATATAGGTTTTAAACTAAACTTGGAATTTAAGTAATGATTATTGATATTTTAATTTAGGCTTTTCAATTATGAGATATCTGAATTCATGCGATTTGAAATTTTTAGGTTATTGAGTGTTTCAGAATCCCCGTTTTACATCAATCTGTCAGCAAAGCAGACAAGATCTGCGGTCTTTGGATCTGAGAATTTTTCCAACCAAGCATTAAAAATTCTATTGTATCTGCCTTTTCTCCTCTAAAACAAATTCAAAAACACTCGCTAAACACACTGATATTCACAAATCAATTCAAGAAGTGCTCTCACAACTCAAAACTAGATATCAATAAATTAGATCACTCAGGAAAATAATCATAAATTCTCAGCCAAAATTCAAATATCAATAACTAAATATTCAAAGAGCTAAAACACCAGTCTCCAATATAATCAAAATATCAATATCTCAATCATAAATCATCTCTACTCGAAACTAAAATAAAGTACGTTATCTATACCCCAGAACCCTATTGAGGGGAAAAAAACTAATAACCCTAATACTGGAAGATAAGTACTAAATAAATAACATGCTAAATGTTTATAAAGCTACAGTTAGAACCACAATACATAATAAAGAGAAAACAAAGTTCTGGATAATTTATTCCTTCAACTAGGTTCTATCTATCCTCCATATTTCCAGCCCCTTGGAAGGCTGGTAGCACCAATTCAATGATTTCGATCAATAGGATCTAATATTTACCTTGTACATCTCATGGAGGAATTGCCGAGTGTAGTGCCTAATCAGGATCTCCTGAATAGATTCCCAACTCGCCATTTGATGCATGATTGACAACTCCTTGAGATGAATTCGTGCTCCCTCTACATCAGCAAGAGCCATCAGACCTCTCTGCAATGATTCATTTTACCAACAAAATTAGAAATTTGCAGTAGGCGAGGGATTCCAAGGGGATTTCAAAAGAAAAACTAAAAAAAAGGAATTTCCATGAAGCAAAGGAAAGTAGGAAGCCAAAAGACATTAATTACACTAGCGAAACACATTTCTGATTCAAGGAATGCCTTATAGTGATGGACTTTGGTAGATATGCATGTTTAGAATCGTGGCTAAAATCAAAAGAAAAAAATGGAATGAAAATTGTTATCCTCTACTCCCATCCTACTTATTTGTCTCATTTATCATTGTTTTCCATTTGCAGTTTATGGATTTTGTCGAGGATGAGGTAATTGGAGAATCCCAACATAACCCAAACCAATAAATAAACTAGCAATCATAGTTACTAAAATAGACTTAGTAGCGTCCTGAATTTTTTTTTTGATAGAAGATGAGGCCTCGTAAAAACCCCCTTTTTTTGTACCCTCCATGTTATGAAAGTAACATGAAGGGCATTGAAAGGAGGAAAAGAGCGCCTATAATTATATTAAACAGAAGAATAGTACATAGCCAACCCTTACAACAAACAAAACTTCCCAAAAAGCATAAGACTTAAAAACCACTATCAGCTGGACATCGTAGTCACTAATAACATAAGACTGAGAACCAAAATCTGCAGTAACAAAGTGAAACTTACACATCAACTCCCCAAATACTAAGACAGCAAATCAACCTATACCATCTTTAGCTAATCTGTCCGCTTCCCAATTAGCAGCCCTCAAGATAAGCCTTAACGTAATGTCCAACCCTTCCATAGTAGAAACTATCTCCTTCACCAATGATTGGAATAAAGGGGTGCTTAATTCCGGATTTTTGATCCACTTCAGCGCGTTGGAAGAATCTGATTCTAAAATAATCCTCTGATTACGAACCCCACCTGAATCAATAAGCAAACCCAACCCCCTCTTAATCGCCAGAAGTTCTGCCATAATCGGGGGACCTCCCCCAACATTTTCAGCAAACCAATGAATCAACTTACCACTGCTGTCCCTAATCAGGCCTCCTATACCTCCTTTGTTCCACCCCTTCACCATTGCTCCATCAACATTAATCTTTATGAACCCAACTGGAGGAGGAACCCAGCACGAAGGCTTGGATCTTACTTTGTGACTGACCATTGAATCAGCCAGTGTTAGATCACCCACCAGGGAATCGAAAGGAATCTTCGAATCAAAACTAGCAGCAAACCCGGAGGGGATGGGGGATTTTAGGCCAATTAGCCTTGTGGGAGGGCTATACAAAATTTTGTCAAAGGTCTTGGCTAGGAGGTTCAGTTTATGCATTAATGACATTATTAGGCCGTCCCAATTTGCTTTTATCCGAGGGAGGAGCATTCTGGACTGCTCCTTCATAGCGAATGAAGGAATCGACTTTTGGAGGAAGAAAGGGTTGAAGGGGGTGGTTTTTAAGGTGGATTTTAAGAGAGCATATGATTCAGTTGATTGGGTGATTTTGTTGAAAATTTTGGGTAAAATGGGGTTTGGCGAAAAATGGCGTTCTTGGATGTTTCAGTGTATGTCAACTGCTTCAGTTTCTGTTTTACTGAATGGGACTCCTACTGAGAAAATTCATACAAAAAGAGGTCTTAGACAGGGATGTTCGTTATCACCCATGTTGTTTAATTTGGGTGGTGAATTGCTTCATTTGATGTTAACTAAAGCAGTGGATTTGGGACTGTTTTCAGGTTTTGAGTTGGGAGCCCATGATCGTTTATTCAAGCTATCGCACCTACAATTTGCGGATGATCTTATTATCTTTTCAAAGGCTTCAATTCGGGATTTGAAGAATGTTAGAAGGGTGCTTTTGATTTACGAGCTATTGGTGGGGTTGAAGATTAATCTAGTCAAGAGCAAAATTTACGGAATCAATATTGAGGAGGATGTGCTTGTTGACTGGTCTAAGGAAATTGGTTGTTCAGTGGGTAAGTTCCCAGCAGAGTATTTAGGCCTGCCTCTGGGGTTTAGGAGAAATTCTATTGCAATGTGGGAGCCAATAGTGCAGAATTTTTATAATAGGTTGTCGGGCTGGAAGGTGAATTCTCTAGCATTAGCAGGGAGGGTGGTGTTGATCAAATCTGTTTTGTGCTCTCTTCCCACTTATTTCCTATCTTTATTTCGAATTCCACTAGCGGTGCTGCAAAATTAAACTCTATAATGGCAGCATTTTTATGGGGGGGGTCGAATGATAAAAGAAACATACATTGGGTGAATTGGGGTTTGGTCAGAAGCCGAGAAGGTTGGGGGGCCTAGGGATCCCGAATTTAGCTATTCTGAATAGAGCATTGTTGGGTAAATGGGTTTGGAAGTTTGCCTCTGAAAAGGATTCTTGGTGGAAGAGAGTAGTCTGTTGTGTTAATAATTTGGACTCGAACTCCAAAAAGGTTGAGAGTTCTTTGACTGCTCGTGCCTCTTGGATTTGGAGAGGAGTGATAAATAACTTCTTTTCTAATGATGGATTTGGTGTCTGCATTAGGAGTAATTTGAGGTGGAAAACTGGAAATGGCCATTATGTGGCTTTTTGGAATGATGCTTGGTTGGGTGAAGTCCCCCTCAAAGATTTGTTCCCCAGATTGTATACTCTTTCGATGAATAAAGAGGGGAAAGTAGTGGAATTTAGGGAGAGTAATGCTGCAGGCTGGGTGTGGGATATTCAATTCAGGAGAAATCTGGTGGATTGGGAGGTTGACCAATGGTTGCATCTGATTTCTTTGTTGAACAACTCCTCTTTGTCGCATGATGAGGAAGACTGTTGGATTTGGTTAGGGAATGGAGAGGGTTGTTTCTCTACTAATTCATGTATCAAGAGTTTCTTTGACTCGGATGGTATTGAGGGGAATCAGGATTTTTGGGACAGAAATGTTTGGGTAGGGATAGCACCTCCCCGTGTTGAAACCTTTTTATGGCAAGTAGTTCATTTGAGAGTGGCGGTTAAGGAGGAATTGTTAAAGCGTGGAGTGGCTGGAATTGAAGATCCCTTATGTCCGTTGTGTGGCAGATTTGGTGAATTTGTTCCCCATCTCTTTCTGCATTGTGAGGTTGCTTGGGGACTGTGGGTCAGATTTTTGAATTTGTGGGATGTTGATTGGGTGATTCCTGGTAAACCTTTAGAGTGCATCACACAGTGGGACGAGCTTCTTCCGAATTCTACTATTTGGAAATACATTCCAAGGGCAATCTTGTGGACGGTTTGGAAAATTAGGAATGAAGTTATTTTTAAGAAAGGGAAGTTGGATGTGGTGTTGTTGTTCTTTATTGCTCGGTTTAGAATAGTTTCTTGGTTTGCTGCTAGTTTTGATTCGCAGATTCCTTTTGATTCTCTGGTGGGTGATTTAACACTTGCTGATTCAATGGTCAGCCACAAAGTAAGATCCAAGCCTTCGTGCTGGGTTCCTCCTCCAGTTGGGTTCATAAAGATTAATGTTGATGGAGCAATGGTGAAGGGGTGGAGCAAAGGAGGTATAGGAGGCCTGATTAGGGACAACAGTGGTAAGTTGAGTCATTGGTTTGCTGAAAACGTTGGGGGAGGTCCCCCGATTATGGCAGAACTTCTGGCGATTAAGAGGGGGTTGGGCTTGCTTATTGATTCAGGTGGGGTTTGTAACCAGAGGATTATTTTAGAATCAGATTCATCCAACGCGCTGAAGTGGATCAAAAATCTGGAACTAAGCACCCCTTTATTCCAACCATTGGTGAAGGAGATAGTCTCTACTATGGAAGGGTTGGACATTTCGTTAAGGCTTATCTTGAGGGCTGCTAATTGGGAAGCGGACAGATTAGCTAAGGATGGTATAGGTTGATTTGCTTTCTTAGTATTTGGGGAGTTGGTGTGTATGTTTCACTTTGTTCTGCAGTTTTTGGTTATCAGTCTTATGGTATTAGTGACTACGTTGTCCAGCTGATAGTGGTTTTTAAGTCTTATGCTTTTTGGGAAGTGTTGGTTGTTGTAAGGGCTGGCTATGTACTATTCTACTGTTTAATATAATTATAGGCGCTCTTTTCCTCCTTTCAAGGCCCTTCATGTTACTTTCATAACATGGAGGGTAAAATAAAGGGGGGTTTTACGAGGCCTCATCTTCTATCAAAAAAAAAAACTAGCAGCAAACCAAGAAACTATTCTAAACCGAGCAATAAAGAACAACAACACCACATCCAACTTCCCTTTCTTAAAAATAACTTCATTCCTAATTTTCCAAACCGTCCACAAGACTGCCCTTGGAATGTATTTCCAAATAATAGAATTCGGAAGAAGCTCGTCCCACTGTGTGATGCAATCTAAAGGTTTATTAGGAATCACCCAATCAACATTCCACAAATTCAAAAATCTGACCCACAGTCCCCAAGCAACCTCACAATGCAGAAAAAGATGGGAAACAAATTCACCAAATCTGCCACACAACGGACATAAGGAATCTTCAATTCCAGCCACTCCACGCTTTAACAATTCCTCCTTAACCGCCACTCTCAGATGAACTACTTGCCATAAAAAGGTTTCAACACGGGGATGTGTTATCCCTACCCAAACATTTCTGTCCCAAAAATCCTGATTCCCCTCAATACCATCCGAGTCAAAGAAACTCTTGATACATGAATTAGTAGAGAAGCAGCCCTCTCCATTCCCAAACCAAATCCAACCATCTTCCTCATCATGCGACAAAGAGGTGTTATTCAGCAAAGAAATCAGATGCAACCATTGATCAACCTCCCAATCCACCAGATTTCTTCTGAATTGAATATCCCACACCCAACCTGCAGCATGACTCTCCCTAAATTCCACTACTTTCCCCTCTTTATTCGTCGAAAGAGTGTACAATCTAGGGAACAAATCTTTGAGGGGGACCTCTCCCAACCAAGCATCATTCCAAAATACCACAGAATGGCCATTTCCAGTTTTCCACCTCAAATTACTCCTAATGCAGACACCAAATCCATCATTGGAAAAGAAGTTATTGATCACTCCTCTCCAAATCCAAGAGGCACGAGCAATCAAAGAACTCTCAACCTTTTTGGAGTTCGGGTCCAAATTATTAACACAACAGACTACTCTCTTCCACCAAGAATTCTTTTCAGAGGCAAACTTCCAAACCCATTTACCCAACAATGCTCTATTCAGAATAGCTAAGTTCGGGATCCCTAGGCCCCCCAACCTTCTCGGCTTGCAGACCAAACCCCAATTCACCCAATGTATGTTTCTTTTATCATTCGACCCCCCCATAAAAATGCTGCCATTATAGAGTTTAATTTCTGCAGCACCGCTAGTGGAATTCGAAATAAAGAAAGGAAATAAGTGGGAAGAGAGCACAAAACAGATTTGATCAACACCACCCTCCCTGCTAATGCTAGAGAATTCACCTTCCAGCCCGACAACCTATTATAAAAATTCTGCACTATTGGCTCCCACATTGCAACAGAATTTCTCCTAGACCCCAGAGGCAGGCCTAAATAATCTGCTGGGAACTTACCCACTGAACAACCAATTTCCTTAGACCAGTCAACAAGCACATCCTCCTCAATATTGATTCCGTAAATTTTGCTCTTGACTAGATTAATCTTCAACCCCACCAATAGCTCGTAAATCAAAAGCACCCTTCTAACATTCTTCAAATCCCGAATTGAAGCCTTTGAAAAGATAATAAGATCATCCGCAAATTGTAGGTGCGATAGCTTGAATAAACGATCTTGAGCTCCCAACTCAAAACCCGAAAACAGTCCCAAATCCACTGCTTTAGTTAACATCAAATGAAGCAATTCACCACCCAAATTAAACAACAAGGGTGATAACGAACATCCCTGTCTAAGACCTCTTTTTGTATGAATTTTCTCAGTAGGAGTCCCATTCAGTAAAACAGAAACTGAAGCAGTTGACATACACTGAAACATCCAAGAACGCCACTTTTCGCCAAACCCCATTTTACCCAAAATTTTCAACAAAATCAACCAATCAATTGAATCATATGCTCTCTTGAAGTCCACCTTAAAAACCACCCCCTTCAACCCTTTCTTCCTCCAAAAGTCGATTCCTTCATTCGCTATGAAGGAACAGTCCATAATGCTCCTCCCTCGGATAAAAGCAAATTGGGCCGGACTAATAATGTCATTAATGCATAAACCGAACCTCTTAGCCAAGACCTTTGACAAAATTTTGTATAGCCCTCCCACAAGGCTAATTGGCCTAAAATCCCCCATCCCCTCCGGGTTAATCTTCTTAGGAATAAGAGAAATAAAGGAATGGTTCACCTCCAGATCCCACTCCTTCCCCTCGAAAAAGTCCTTAAAAAACAGCATAATATCCTCTTTCAAACTAGACCAGAATTTCTTGAAAAAGCCTAAATTCAAGCCATCCGGGCCAGGAGCTTTGTTACTATCCGAATCAGCAATTGCTCTCCAAACTTCTTCTTCCGAAAATGGCTTTTCAAGTGCTAACCTCTGCTCTTCCGATAATTTTAAAAATTCCAGATTTATATCCTCAGCCTCCAAAGAATTTCCTGAGAAAACAGACCATTGAAAAACTCCACTACAGAATTTCTAATTGAGGTAGGATCTTCTATGACTTCATTCCCCACCAAAAGGGACTTAATGCCATTGTTTCTCCCTCTAACTGAAGCAGTTTGGTGGAAGAATCTGGTGTTCTTATCACCCTCCAATCTCCATTTCAGTCTCGATTTTTGCAACCAAATCGATTCTTCTTTCTTTTGGAGGTCCCATAAATCCCTCTTTGCTTCAATTATTGACCTCATTGTCACCGAGGAAAGGCCTTGTTGCATATCCAACTCCATTTCATGAATTCTTTTCTCCAACTTTTTAATTTTTCCAGGCAATTCTAAGTAACCCCTCCCAGACCATCTCATTACCACGCCCTTCACCCTCTTAAACACCATAGACATGGACTTCCCCTTTTCCTCTTTGCAAATAATATCCAGCTCCTTACCCATCATCTCTGTAAAACCCTCCTCCTCCATAACATAGTTAAACAACCTAAACGGCTTCAGGCCCCAATTGCAATCCTTGTTCTCCAGCAGAATAATATTATGATCAGAAACTGACCTTGCCTGTAATGACTGACTTAGCTTCGGGAACAAGCTAACTAATCTCTGATCCACCAAAAAACGATCCAACCTCTCAAACGTAGGAAGTTCCCTATTATTACACCATGTAAACCGGCCTCCAGACAAAGGCAAATCTAGCAGATTAGCCTTACTCACAAAGTCCCTGAAAATATTCATAGTCACTGAATTCACAGCTCCTCCTTCTTTCTCCTCCTGTGACAAAACTACATTGAAATCTCCTCCTACGCATAATGGACATTCCACGTTATCCAAGAAAGATAATAGTTCCCTGAAAAATGCCTCTTTCTCTGCATCCAGACTAGGGCCATACACATTAATGAAACAACTACTTCCTGGGAGTCCCACCATAGTTCCTTTTAAAGCTACAAATCTGCTATAAAGGACTACATCTTCCATCACAAATTCCTTCTGATTCCACAAGGTTATTAATCCACCAGCAGAACCTATGGAAGGGGCTACAGCCGATCCAGTAAGTAGTTTCCCCCCCATTTTCCTCACTAACACATGGCTGACAACCTCCAATTTGGACTCTTGCAAAAATAGAATTGTAGGTTTTTTATCATCCACAAACCTCCTAATAGCTCGAGCTTTCACTCTCCTACCCAAACCTCTAACATTCCAAGACATCATCGACCACTCAACCATCAATAGTATATCATAACCTTGCAACTCAGCTACAACTACTGACGCTCCTTCGAATTACTTTCATTCACCAACGGAACCATTTTAGCCATAAAAGCTTCCTCTCCTCCTTTAAATTTCACCCCCAACAATTTGGACACATTCCAACACTCCAATGCCTCTGCCACCCCCTCATTCTCCTTCTCTACAAAGGAAGCTAACTCCTTGCCATTGCAACTCTTAACTTCCCACCTCCTAGAATAAACATTCTTATAAAAACCTCTTTCAATGTTACTTACCGACGCACTTCTCCCAGAATGCTGACGTCTCGCCGGTGATATAATCCGATTCTGCAAGTTTAACGCAGATTGATCACCAATTGCCATTTCTGCAGATTGGATACGAACAGTATTCGACCCTAATATCCCTTGAACAGGCCCACTTGTTTGACTTCTGACCAAGCTGGTATTAAGCCCATTATCTTGTACACCCTTATCCTGGCCCAAGGTGACTCCTTCCACAGATCTTTCATTTCTCTTTCTTCATTAAAATCCTCTGACAATCTCTGTTGACTGGTACCATCACCTACTGCTGCTACCTCCGTAGAACAAAAGTCATCAGCCAACAAATGTTTTGTCCCTTCAATTAATTTCAAATTTCCATCGATAACCGTATCAACCCCTTGTTTATCACCCCGTACCCATGCTTCAACCCTGTCCTGAGAGTCTGACACAGACTGATCACCCCACTGCTCATCCTGTCCCTGTTGGACATCCCGCTGGCTCCGGACCGGCGAAATCCCCTCCCGAGAAGCCACTGTTCCGTCATCTTCAGCCATATCCTCTAACTTCGGAAAAAACTCATCACTACCTTCCACCTTAATCTTAATCATGAACGACCTCCCATACGTATTTATAATGACATGGGGAGGAATATCAAAGGGACTTTCAACCCTCAATAGCATATAAGCTACTCTACAATCCACTCTGTTAGCAGTTTGTTCCTGTATCTTAACTAGCTTGCCCCATTTCGACGCCAAGCTTGTGAAGAAAGGAACTGACCAACAATTAAGAGGAACTCCAATCATAGAAACTGCACAATAAGGTAATGGCACACCCTCTTCTTCCATAACGTGCTCCAACCTCTCGAACCAGAAGGACAAGGTCTCCCATTTGTTTTCCATCGTTGCAACTTTCTCCTCAGCAGTCTGGAAAACTACCAGACATGCTTTTTTTGCCTAACCCCATTGAATCACTTTTACATTGATTCCTTCAGTCCTTAGCGCCCTCTGCACAAACTCAACTTCGAATAATGGCTTACAAATACCAGTTAACGACGATCTCATCCATGCTCTATCCTCCATTGGAATAAAGACTTCCAACTTCTTCTTCACCTCCTTCTTAGCTCCAAAACTCCCCGCTTTCTGGCCCTCAACTTCTTTTGCACCCACAACCATCTCCTTATATGACCTTCTATTGTGAAACTTATTCATCATCTCCTTCTTTCCAGTACCTGCAGCTTGAGATGATGGTAGTTTCCTGAGCAACCCATCTACACCAGCATCTGTAGACCTTGCCCCACTAGTACGTTTGAGACTCCTCGAAATACTTTTCTTCTGTAGACCTATAGTGGCGAGATTTAATGCTAAATTGAGTGGTTGGATAGCTAATTCTCTGTCGATAGCGGGAAGAGTGGTTTTGGTCAAATCGGTGCTATGCTCTCTTCCGGTCTATTTTCTGTCTATGTTCAAAATCCCAGCTGCTGTGATACTTAAACTCAACTCTATCATGGCTTCATTTCTGTGGGGGGATTCGATTGACAAGAAAAAATCCATTGGGTCAACTGGAAGTCGGTCTCTAAACCAAGAAATCTGGGGGGTCTAGGGTCCCTAATCTAGCACTTTTGAACCGAGCTTTACTAGGAAAATGGGTTTGGAAGTTTTCTTCTGATAAGAAATCTTGGTGGAAGAAAGTGATTTGTGCCGCCTACAATTTGGATCCGAAGTCCATTATTTTGGAGAATTCGGTGCCAGCTCGTGCATCGTGGATTTGGAAAGGTGTGGTGAAAAACTTCTTCAACAGTGATGATTTTGGAGAGTGTCTTAAAAGGAATATGCGTTTGAAGGCGAGGAAAGGGGAAGATGTGCAGTTCTGGAATGATGTATGGTTGGGTGATGTTCCCCTGAAATTGTTGTTTCCTAGACTTTATGTTCTATCAATTAATAAATCGGGTAAAGTGAAGGAGTTTAGGGTAAATAATGCTTCGGGTTGGGTGTGGGACATCCAAATGAGAAGGAATTTGGCTGATTGGGAAGTAGAACAGTGGATGCAGTTGATTTCTATGTTATATAATACCTCTCCTTTTCCTACTGAAGATGATTGTTGGATTTGGTTAGGGAATGGTGAAGGAAATTTTACAGCTAAATCTTGTATAAACGCTTTTTATGAACGTGGTTCTGAGCAAAATCAAGTGAATTGGGATAAGAATATTTGGTCTGGTTTTGCTCCTCCAAGGGTGGAACTGTTTGTTTGGCAACTAGTGCAACATAGAGTACCGGTTAAAGAGGAGTTAGCAAAGAGAGGTGTTGCAGAGATTGTTGACCAACGTTGTGTTTTGTGTGGTAGGGAGGTGGAATCAGTTTCCCATCTGTTTCTGCATTGCAGGGTTGTGTGGGGTCTGTGGTCCTTCTTCTTGAAAATGTGGAATGTGTCATTGGTGACTCCGAAGTGTACCATGGAATTTCTAATTTTGTGGGATGATTTTATGACTAACTCTTTGATTTGGAAATTCATTCCTAGGGCAGTGATGTGGTCAGTATGGAAGTGTAGAAATGAGATTATCTTTCAGAAAGGAAAGCTGGATTTGGTCAAATTATCTTTCATTGTTAGATTTAGAGTGGCTTCCTGGTTTAGTGCTCGTTTCAAGGATATGGGTATTCCTCTAGATTCTCTAGTAGGTGATTTGAAAATTGCTGATTCGATTGGTAGATCAGGAAAGGATTGCTCTCAACCTGCTTGCTGGGTTCCCCCACTGGAGGGGTTTCTAAAGTTAAATGTTGATGGACCGATGGTTTCGGGTTGGAAAAAAGGAGGTATTGGTGGTCTGTTTCGAGATAGCAGAGGTCTATTACTTCAGTGGTTTTCTGAAGCAGTAGGGGGTGGTCCTCCTATCTTGGCAGAGCTGTTGGCTATCAAAAGAGGGATTTGTCTTATGGAGGAGTTAGATTTTGTCGCAAATCAGAGAGTTATCTTGGAATCAGACTTATCTAACGCTCTGAAGTGGATCCAGAATCCGGGTTTAAGCCCTCCTTTGCATCTATCCTTGGTGAAGGATATAATTTCGCTTTTGATTGGAAAGGATATTATTTTTAGGCATATTTCAAGGGCGGCAAACTGGGAAGCTGATAAACTTGCTAAAGACGGGATAGGGTGATTTTGGTTATTGTTGTGTTGTTTAACAGGAATTGTACCTCCCTGTTTGTTGGATGTTTAGTGTTAAGTTTTATGTTCTTCTGTTGGAAGTGTAGGAGTTTGTTAAATCTTGTAATCTGGTTCTTGTGAATAAAAGTTTTCTTGGCTCTCCTTTCCTCCTTCGTTGTTCCTTCATGTTACTCTCATAACATGGAGGGATTGAAGGAGGATTTTAATGAGGCCTCTTTCTATCAAAAAAAAAAATATTCTCCTCCCATCGACCGAGGCGTTATTCATCTTTTCAATTGCTAGATGCATATCATCTTTGCTAGCAAAATGCACAAAGGCAAAAGTACTATCCTTGTAATAAGGTCTCCTATTAACAAATGGAATGAACACCTTAATCACCTTACCATAATGACTAAAACGATCCCATAATACACTTCTCTGCACTCGCCTACTAAGATTATCCACGAATACAACCCACGATATTTCTCCAGGCGAAGACCTACTTCTGACCGGACGAACAAGACCCTTCGAACTCTCCCTCACTCTCTCTCTACCTTTCTCGCTCATGTTGATATGATTAGGCGGTTTTCTTGGTTTAGTTGAAAACGATAGCGTCCTGAATTTAAATCCACGAGTTTTAAATATCACTTGCTCCTGTATGAGATTTTTACAACAACACTTCATTAAAATTGGAGAAGAACAAGAGAGAGATCATCATTACCCCCCTATAACTCAAACCTTTTGATTCAGGCATCTTTCATTAAGAAATTTATCGAGCAAACGTAGACGCTTGCTTCTCTTGATAACCGAATTAATTACGAGGAGCTTGCAACTCAACTCAAAAGAAGCTTCTAGTCCAATTAAGTCCACTTATAAAAGTAATAATTAGTATTGACAATCAAATATAATCTTAAAATAGTTCCAATTTCTAGAAAATGTGCAAACTTCAACATTGACAAGAAAAATCTTGTCAAACTCACAAACAAGCCATTTATGAACTTAAACAATCTAGGAAAACTTAGCGAATAAAGTATGCTGAATTTACTTCAGGTCATTTGCTAATCTTAATAACATGCTTGATCAAGACATGCCTCAAATAGCTATTAAAAGGCTAAGATTACTTTCATCCACACGTATCGAAGCAAAACAGCCTAAACTTAACAAAATCTCTATGTATTTATGTACTAGCTCGACGGTTATGAAGGGTTTTTTTTTTATAAAAAATGCCTCATTAAAAACCCCCTTCATACCCTACATGTTATAATAAACATAACATGAAGGGCATAGGAAGAAGGAAAAGAGTGCCTCTAACTTTTATTAATGAGAACCATAATACACCTCCACAACTACATGACTAACTACTAACAACATAACCTTTAAGCCACAACTGTGGATACATAACGCACCCTAATAACTTCCTTAAAAAACAGTCAAGATATAACACCTCTAACCACAATAGAAACCCAAAAATCAACCTATACCAGCTTTTGCTAATTCATCCGCTTCCCAATTTGGAGCTCTCGGAATATGCCTTGTAATAATACCCTTCATTTCCACACGAGTAGCTATATCCATCACCAAGGATTTAAACAAAGGAGTACTAAGGTCCGGATTTTTAATCCACTTTAGAGCATTAGTCGAATCTGATTCCAAAATAATCCTCTGGCTTGGACTGTAACCAACTTCCTCAGTAAGAATCAACCCTCTTTTGATCGCCAAAAGCTCTACAAGTAAAGGAGGACCTCCCCCTACCTTCTCTGAAAACGACCCAAGCACCGAACCACTCCCATCCCTAATCAATCCACCAATTCCCCCCTTATCCCAACCTTTGACCATTACTGTTTAACATTGTAGGTGAGCTGCTTCATTTGATGATAACTAAAGCAGTAGACAGGGGTCTGTTTCAAGGCTTTGTTATTGGGAAATCTGAAAACTCTGTTCGGTTGTCACATCTCCAATTTGCAGATGACTTGATCATTTTCTGTCAAGCTTCTCTCCCAGATTAAAAATGTCAAGAGAGTGTTGAGGATTTTTAGTATTATGATAGGGTTGCATCTAAATCTAGCTAAGAGCAAGCTGTTTGGTATTAATGTGGAAGAGGAAGTTTTAACAGAGTGGGCATTAGCAGTGGGTTGTTCAGTGGGTTCCTTTCTAACAGATTACTTGGGACTTCCTCTCGGTGCTAAGAAAAACTCAGAAGCTCTATGGGATCCAGTTTTCAAGAATTTTAGCTCCAAACTTGCTGGTTGGAAAGCTTCTTGTCTCTCTTTGGCTGGCAGGATAGTTTTATTAAAGTCGATGCTTACTTCCTTACCAATATTTTTCTTATCACTTTTTAGAATGCCTTGCATTATTGGTAAGAAGCTCAATTCATTAATGGCCAAATTTCTATGGTGGGGGGGGGTAATGAGGAAAAAAGGAGGATACACTGGGTTAATTGGAAATCAGTTTGCAAGCCTCTGAATTCTGGTGGTCTTGGTGTTTTTGATGTGAATCTTTCTAATCGGGCTCTTTTGAGAAAATGGGTGTGGAAGTTTGCCAATGAAAAGAATACTCTGTGGAAAAGTGTGTTATGTTGCAGACACAAGGTTAGTTGTAATTCCATGTCTATTAGCAAGGTGTTTACGCCCAAATCTTCTTGGATTGTGAGAGGTATTGCTAACAATTTCTTAAAGAATGACTCGGAGGGTGAATGTATCAGATCACACTCTAAGTTGAAAGTGGGGAATGGAAAGTCTATTTCATTTTGGATAGATACATGGGCTGACGAGTTTCCTTTAAAAAAATCTTTTCCCTAGAATGTATGTGTTGTCTACAAACAGATGGGGTAATGTTGCTGAGTTTGGTTGTTTTGATTCGAATGGTTGGGTGTGGAACGTTGAAACCAGAAGGAATTTGTGTGACTGGGAATTAGAGCAGTGGCTGGAATTGATGACAAAACTGAATGACTTTAAACTGACAGAATCAGTAGAAGACTTTCTTTCTTGGTCTGCAAGTGGGGATGGAATGTTTTCAGTAAAATCTTGTAGAAATGTACTCGGGAAGGTGTCGGGGGGTTTTGATTTTTGGTTTAAAGGGGTGTGGCAAGGATTATCTCCTCCTCGTGTTGAAGCTTTCCTGTGGCAGCTAGCTCATCAGGAAGTGGCAGTGAGAGAAGAATTGGTGAAGAGAGGAATGCAGCTAGGGGATGAAATTTTGTGTCCTTTTTGTAAGGAACAAGTGGAATCAGTGCAACATTTATTTATTTCGTGTGTTGTAGTTTGGGAACTATGGTATAAGATAGTAAGCTTTTGGGATATAGCTTTGGTACTTCCAAAGGACCCACCTTCTTTGATCAGCTCTTGGGGTGAACTGAGGGGGAATTCGTTGATTTGGAAATTTATTCCGGGAGTAGTATTTTGGTCGATTTGGAAAGCTAGGAACGCAATAGTGTTCGAAGGTGCTCCCCTTGATAGGATGTCTTTGTTTTTTATTGCTAGATTCAGGTTATCTAAATGGTTTCTAGCCAAGTACCCTAAGTTTCCTATTCAGGAGGATGTGCTGATTGGTGATCCATCTTTTGTACTCTTGTTGTATCTGGTGTTTAGTAATAAAATTTATGGCACTCTTTTTCTCCTTCCAATGTCCGTTGAGCAACCTTTGTAGTTTGATGGTTACGAAGGGGGTTTTTAACGAGGCCATCTTTTCTATCAAAAGAAAAGTAATTGGCAGCAACTAAGAATCAACTTTAACTCTGAGCAGATATACTTGATCCCTACAATAATCTAAAATCAGCAATTAAGGAATTCAAATTACAGTATTACAAATGAACAAGTAGAACTGGGAGAAAATTATAAATATGAAAGCAATAAAAGTTATTTCCCATGGTTGTACCACCAAATCATAGTCAAAACTAAGTGAGATCACTGAAATTATAATTATCAAAACAACAAAGTTCTTACAAATGAGCATCATCAAGTCATATTAAGAAGTAGGCAAATCACTAAAAATTAAAGGAAAAGCTTCCAAATTAACATTATATATATATGATAGTGAAGAAACATCAAGCTTACTTCTCCCTTAACTGATTTGTAGTTAAGTAATCTGAAAGGATCAAGATTTGCTGCAACTGAATCTCATTCAAAGACACAACCTTAAAGAATTTAAGAACACAAATTAAAATTAAAATATCATCCAAAATAGTTGACAAAATAATAACGTGCCTACAATCAGTGAGAAGAAAAACTGACCAAACAGGTCATTTTAGCACTGATAGAATACTGAGGCAAATCATTATGTTTTCCATATCTGTTCACCTGCATAATAAAAAAGTATGACAGAAAAATCTAAAGGTGAGCAGTACTTATTCAATGAAAACTTTGTGGTTAATATATAGTAGATTGTAGACGTGTGTGTGATTAGTAGAAGATTAAGTTTACTTTGTACCTATCTCTTAGTTTATATATATATATATATAGGAAAGAGATGCTTCATTAAAAACCCTATCTCTTAGTAGTATAGTGTTATTTCTAAGTCTTATCCTAAGTATAGATAAAGATAAGATCCAAAGTAGTCCTAATTGTAGTTAAACACTATGTATTCAGTCTTCTATAGACTTATGTTGTAAATAGATTTTTCAAGTGAATATAGAAGAAAACATATTGTTTTCTCTTCATAGAAACTCCCATCATCTACATGGTATCAGATGTCTAGTTTTTTCGATCCACAAAAACCCAGAAAATGAATACCTCTACAAACTCTGAAATCAGTTTGGGATCTAATCAAACCCCTCCCAAACTGTCAACAGCTTCAACAAACAACTTGAGGACTTACTTTTTTTTTTATAGGAATAGAAGGCCTCATTAAAAACCTCCCTCATAGTTGTCTCTTTAAAGGAGACAAGTAGCGGAAGGAGGAAAAGAGTGCCTTAGTAGATTAATAACCAACAATTACATAAGATACCCAAACATTACAAAAGATTGCCTAAACAAAGAAACATAACCAAAATAAAGTGCCAAAAGCACAGCTCCTAAAAACAAACTCCACACTCACTAACCAATTCCTGACTTAGCTAGACCATCAGCTTCCACATTAATACATCTGCTGATATGCCTAATAACAACATTATAAAGCCCAACTGACTTCTGAATTTCTGTAATAAAATCAACAAGGTGAACCGGGCAGAGATCCGGGCTGTTGATCCATTTCACTGCCAGAAACGAGTCACTTTCTAAAATCAGATTTCCTTTGTCCCTCCAAACTGAATCAAAAAACATATCTAACCCCACTTTGATCGCAAAAATCTCAGCTAGAATAGGAGAACAAGGTCCTAAAGCTGTAGAGAATGAAACCAGCTTGTTATTACCAGCATCTTTAAGAACTCCACCAATACCACTCCTTTTCCAGTCAAAATTGACTGCCCCATCAACATTCATCTTAATGTACCAGGAAGGAGGAGGGCACCATTTTAATCTAGACAGTCGAAAATTAGAGGGGGATTTATGCTTATCCGCCAAAGTAAGATCTCCCACAAGGTTGTCCAAATGAATAGACAAATCCTTATTTTTTACTAAAAACCATGATGCCACCCTATACCTCACCAAAAAGAACAAATTATCTTTGTCCATCTTGCCATTCTCAAAAACAATCTGATTCCGGCACAGCCAAACAGACCACAAAACTGCTCCTGGAATAAATCTCCAAATATCCGAGTAGGGTCTAAGATGCAACCATGAAAGCAAAAAGCCTTTCGGATTATTAGGAAAGACTGAAATAACTTTCCACAAACGGAGTAGTTTTATCCAAATTTTCCAAACCTGGACACAGGAAAAGAATAAATGACTGACAGATTCTGGTTCCTGTCCACATAACACACAAAGAGGGTTTTCGATATCTTTAACCCCTCTTCTCAATAAAACAGTTTTGACAACCATCTTCTGATGAATAACTTGCCACAGGAAAATCTCTACCTTTGGTGGGACTAAGCCCTTCCACACAATCTCCAACCAAGAATTGTCAGATTCTGCTAAACTTGAAAATAATCTTGAGCAAGAATTAACCGAGAACTCACCATCCCCACTACCTTTCCACACAACACGGTCTCCACCCTTCAACAGCGGGCGAAAATTATCCAGCAACACCATCAGTTCCATCCAATGCTCAAACTCACTATCCATTAAATTCCTCCCAAGTTGTAAATCCCACACCCACTCCCCATTCGACAAACACCCAAAATCAGCTACAACACCTTCCTTATTAACAGACAGAGCAAAGAGCCTAGGAAACAAAGTCTTCAAGGAAACATTAGAAATCCAAGAATCAAGCCAAAATCTGATAGATTCTCCTTTTCCCACCTGAAGCACGAGATTATTTCGAAAGCATAATCCAAATGAGTCGTTAGACCAATAGTTATTTAAAACACCTTTCCAAATCCAAGACACATTAGAGGGCAACTTATCATATACCACAATAGAGCTCAAACCCACATTGTACTTAGAACAAATCAATGTCTTCCACCAAGAGTCCTTCTCTGTACCAAACTTCCAAACCCACTTGCCCAATAAAGCTCTATTCCGTAATTTTAGATCCGAAATTCCCAATCCCCCCAACTCTTTATTTTTACAGACTGTATTCCAATTAACCCAATGAAGCCTTTTCTTCTCAGCCGAAGAACCCCACAAGAAGTTGGCCAAAATAGATTCCAGTTTCTTCCTCACAACCACTGGCATTTTAAAAAGTGACATATAGTAATTAGGCAAAGCATTCAAGACTGAATTAATCAAGACTGTCCTTCCTGCTATTGATAAAGAAGACATTTTCCAGCCTGTTAATTTCTGGTAAAACTTATTTACAATCGGATCCCAAAGTTGAATTGAATTCCTCTTAGCACCCAATGGTAACCCCAAGTAGTCTGTCGGAAAGGAGTCTCTTAAACAACCAATAGAATCTGCCCACTCCCCAACAATGTTGTCTTGTAAATTGATACCAAAAATTCTGCTCTTCAACAAATTCAGCTGCAGCCCAGTACATAACTCAAAAACAACCAAAACCCTCTTCAGATTTGCCAATTGACCCTTTGCAGCTTTACAAAAAATAATCAAATCATCCGCAAATTGTAGATGAGACAGCATCGGCGAAGAATTATCAGAACCTAATTGAAAGCCCTCAAACAGCCCCAATGCAACTGCTTTAGACAGCAGTAGATTCAGAAATTCACCCACTATATTAAACAGAAGCGGGGATAGAGAACACCCTTGTCTGAGCCCTCTAGATATGTTAAAACTTTCAGTTGGAGAACCATTGACAAGAACTGAAATAGAAGTTGAACTTAAGCAATTATGAATCCACGACCTCCATCTTCTACTAAACCCCATACACTCCATAATTTTGATTAAAAAATTCCAGTCAACAGTGTCGTAGGCCCTCTTGAAATCCACTTTGAAGACAAGACCTTCCCTTCCTTTCCTCCTCCAAAAATCGATTGCTTCATTAGCAATTAAGGAGCAGTCACAAATCTGCCTTCCCGAGATGAAAGCAAATTGAGAATGACCAATTAACCCCCCTATGCACTGCCTTAACCTTCTTGACAAAACTTTAGACAAGATTTTGTAAAGTCCTCCTACCAAACTGATTGGTCTGTAATCCTCAATGCAGACTGGAAGCTGCTTCTTCGGAATTAGAGAGATGAAGGAATGATTGACACCTTTCCCAAACTTCTTCCCTTTGTAAAAATCTTCAAAAAACTTAAGAATGTCACCTTTCAAAACCGGCCAAAATTTCTTGAAAAAACCTAAGTTCAATCCGTCAGGACCTGGAGCTTTATTGCTATCCGAAGAAAGAACTGCTTCCCAACTTCCTCTTCCGAAAAAATCATGTCTAATTGAGCAACTTGATCCTCCGAAAGTCTAGAAAAAGTCAATTCCAACTTCTCAACTTCAACCGTCGGAATGGCATTGTAAGCGTTCTTGAAAAATTCAAAAATAGCAGCTTTAATCCTTATCGGATCCACAATCAAATTTCCACTCACATTTAAAGAATTAAGAGCATTCCTCCTCCCTCTATTTGTAGCACATTGATGGAAATACCTTGAATTTCTATCTACATCCATAATCCACTGCGCCCTTGATTTCTGGAACCAAACTAATTCTTCTTTTTTATATAATGTCCATAATTCACTTTTTTCTTTTGCAACATCCACCATAGAAACGGAAGGATTCCTTTGTTGTAATAGAGCTTCTTGGTTCGAAATTAGTCTCTCTTTGCTGTCAATCAAACTTTGAAGTTGCAATCTGCTTCCATTAGACCAATTCCTGATTTCAACCTTTAAAACTCTAAGTAGCTCCTCAATGTTCATCCTCTTCCTACTCTTTGCTTTTGAAATTTCCTTTTCCACAGCTTCCTTAAAACCCTTCTCCTCCATGATGTAATTGAACAATTTAAAGGGTTTCGGACCCCAATTAATCTTACTGGAATCCAATGCCACAGCATTGTGATCTGAAATTGACTTAGGTAATAACAGCTGCACAACATCCGGGAATAAGTCTAAGAATTCGGCAGAAAGTAAAAACCTATCCAACCTCACAAATGTAGGATCTTCCCTGTTGTTACCCCAAGTAAAACTTCCTCCCACCAAAGGCAGATCCATCAAACTTGAATGAAACAAAAACTCCCTGAACCACCCAATTGAATTTTCATTCAGATTTTTCCCCCACTTTTCTTCCTGTGACAAATGATTAGCCAATACCAGCCTTACCTAAACCATCAGCTTCAATATTTGTTGTCCTAGCTACCCATCGAATTACGCCCTCCAAAGCTAACCTAACAGCAATGTCCTTAACAATTGAAACATAAACATTAGGACATCTATCTATATTCTTAACCCACACCATCGACAATTTACTATCACTTTCGATAATCAAACGTTTCTTAAAACGTTGTCGAAGAGAATCAAAGAAAGTTAAACCCTTCTTAATAGCCTTCAGCTCCAACAAAGTAGAAGGACCTGGGCCAGTAGCCTTTTGGAAAGAACCCAGCACCGAACCATCATCATCTCTTAAGATTCCACCTATTCCACCTTTCTTCCAATCACCACTAACAGCTGCATCCACATTCAGTCTTAGAAAGCCCTTGGGAAGAGGAGACCAAGGCACAAGATTGATAATCGAATTTCTGGAAGATCAGCAGAAATCCCCAAGGAAGGGATCACTAATGACAGAGTCTTTAGAAATAGACCTTGAACTTAGCTAAGTACCAAGAAGCAAGCCTAAATCTTGTCGTGAAAAATAAATCAACTTGATCTAACAATCCCCCTTCAAAC